GTCTCACGTATTGTATTCCATCAGAAGAAACGCGATTGAACTTTGATTCGTCCAAAAATAATACATTTTGCCAATCTTGACTTGTTCAATGTTTATGAGCATTAACAAATGCAAGTCTCATTTTTCGATTTTTAGGGGAGACCGGGGATAAAAGTAACAGCGTCATGAAAGTAACAAGTCTCGTATTAAATTACACAATATGTTCAATAATTTGTACTATATAGTCAAACGCGTACGATTCTCTTCCTTTTCAGCTAATTGTTGTTGAACGATCGCGCCGGTTGCACATGCAGGAGTGAAATTAATGTATTTGCATTATTCGCCTAAGTATTTCTTGTTTTAGTTTTTTTGTATCTATGTCTAATTAAAGTGTATATATTGACGTAATTATTTGTCGATGTACGAGGTGTGTTAAAAAAAAAGGTGACTTTTTATTTTTCTCAAAAAATATTTATTTATTCATCAATATCTATTTTGTCCCCTTCAAAGTAATCCTCCTCAGATATTATACACTTGTGCCAACGCTTTTTCCAATCCTCGAAGCACTTTTGATATGCGCTTTTTGGTATGGTCTCGAGCTTTTCCAGCGATGCGGTCTTTATCTTCTCAATCATGGCAAATCTCCGTCCTTTCATGGGTCTTTTCAGTTTTGGGAACAAGAAAAAGTCACAGGGGGCCAAGTCCGGTGAATACGGTGGCTGAGGCATGGTTACGGTGTTGACTTTGGCCAAAAAATTATAACCATACCAAAAAGCGCATATCAAAAGTGCTTCGAAGATTGGAAAAAGCGCTGGCACAAGTGTATAATATCTGAGGGGGATTATTTTGAAGGGGACAAAATAGGTATTGATGAATAAATAAATATTTTTCGAGAAAAATAAAAAGTCACCTTTTTTTTTTGAACACACCTCGTATTCTTCTAAAATGTATTCATAAGTTTTTATAGTTATTTGGTTAAGTCTTACATCATATTTAGGTTATAATGCTTTTATTCTAAAAAATATGTTTGGGGATAGAAATAATACGAAACTCTGTGGACGAAAGTCACATCGTTTCAATGCTTAAAGTATAAGAGCTGGTCTTATAATAATTGTATCAAATGTGATTCTTATTATGTATGCCATAATTGTGATTCGGAATAGATAACAATCTTTTTTGTATAAGTAGTTATCATACAATTTTTACATTATTATTTAAAATTAAACTATTTAGACTTAAAAAAGTACAAAACTGGTGTGATATTAAGTATAATTATTTTATGATATTAGATTATACTTACAATTATTTTGTTTAAGATTATTTCTTTTAAGTTTTTTAAAGATGATATAAATAAATATTTATTTTATTTTTTATTTTAATATAATACAATTTAATACAAGTTTATAATAAAAATTATTTTGCTTAATAAAAGATTATAATAAAAGCTGCCTTAAATTGAAAGTCATATTTATTTTATTTTCCCGAAAAAAAGAAACTGGTACTTTGAGCCTCAGATTATGTTACTTTCGTTCTAGGTCTCTAGGATAAAAGTAACGAGCAACGTACTTGCTACAGGATGTTTCATAAGTGGTGGGCAAAATTTCAGAAATGGATTCCTTATGAGAAGAAAATATTCCTATATTAATAAATATTCCTAAATATTCCTATATTAGAGAAGAAAAAAAGTTAATCAATATAGGTCCGGAAATGATTAGTTTTTAAGTTATTAAGATTTTGGACAATTAGAGAAAATGTTCAATATGTCCACCTTCTGTCACAATACAAGCTTATCAATCGTTGTTGTGAGACGCGTTAGATGATACTAAACTTGAAAAATGTTTCAGCGCTCTTCAGACGTACGGCAAAGTGTTCCTGTATACATGAAAAAAGTATGGAATTGTAAACAAGGATAAGAATAATACACCGCGCTAACGTAAACATAGGCCGCCGAACTTGAAAAACATTGTTGATGCCTGTAAAACGACTTCTAAGACGAGAAATGAGACAAAATTTTGTATTACAAAAATCTTAATAACTCATAAACTAATCATTTTCACAATCTATGTTGATTAACTTTTCTTTCTTTTCTCAATATGAGGAATCCATTCCTGAAATTTTGCCCATCACTTATGAAACATTTTGTATAGTAGTTCTTTAAATATCTATCATTTGAGACATAGGTAACATAGATATAATAATAGAAACATAGGTATAATAATAAAACAAAATAGAGTTTTTTAACTTTAGAGTTTTATAATTTTTTTTATATCTCTAACGATAATTAATTAATAACTTATAATACAAAAAATGTTACTTTTGTCCCCGGTCTCCCTACTCATTGTTGGTTTCTTACGTGGTCTTCGGGCTCTTAATTGAAAATGTTCCAACCGTTTGTAACTATTTAGCTAATTTGTTATATTATTAGTTTTTTATTCAGCTCAATATTTTGAGACGAAAACACCTTGAAAAATGTAGCGCTCTTCAGACGTACCAAGTTTCTGTATACATGAAAAATAGAATTAAACAAAAAATAATACAGGCTAAGTAACATACGAACTTGAAAAACATTGTTGATGCCTGTAAAACGACTTCTAAGCCGAGAAATGAGACAAATTTTGTATTAAAAAACTTAATAACAAAACTAATTATTTTCACAATCTATGTTGATTAACTTTTCTTTCTTTTCTCAATATGAGGAATCCATTCCTGAAATTTTGCCATCACTTATGAAACATTTTGTATAGTAGTTCTTTAAATATCTATCATTTGAGACATAGGTAACATAGATATAATAATAGAAACATAGGTATAATAATAAAACAATAAATAGTTTTTTAACTTTAGAGTTTTATAATTTTTTTTATATCTCTAACGATAATAATAAGCATCTGTATGATTTCAAAACAAAATAAACTAAATGGGAAAAACTGCTTATACGACAAGCGTATAACCGAAATTAAAATTTATCGTCTTAAACTTATGTGTGACCGCTACAGTATATTAATATATATAATTTATATATATTTAAAAAATTATATGTTTTATACATATCAAGACACGGTGTCTCGCGCCAAGTTCATGGGAAACATTTGCGCGGCACTCCGTGTATCTATATGCGAGTCGAACCGTTGAGAGTAACTCAGATTATCGAATTTCAAAAACGGCTGAACGGATTGAATTTTTATCAGCCTTAATTGATAGAGCGGATTTGAATTGTATAAAGAAAGTATCTTTATTTTGTGCGTGATCTATAAACGGAGATATCATAACGCAAAGTCGAAATATGAAAATTTTCAATTAAGAAATGTACTTATCATCATCATCATCATCATCAACGCACATGTACACAACACATAGAAAGAGAAAACGTATATTTCCTCGACAGAAGAATGCGCTAATGACGCTTTGCGATATTTGCGATATTAATGACATGTGTCATATGTGTCATTAGTATAATGACTGACTGAGCTCAGTGGTAAGAACAGTCGCCCGGCAAGCGAAAGACTCGGGTTCGATTCCTGATTTAGCGACTTCGCCCCGATATTTTTCTTGTTTACATCTCTTCAGGGGAATAAAGAGGGGTTTTATAGAATTCTCAAAACATGAGAATCTATATCTTGGTATATACACCAAATAAAATATATGTATAAATGCCTTGTGCACGTTTAAATTTTCGCGAACAATTAATGTTTATGAAATTTACGCATTACCATCCGCGTTTGGCTCTTAATCGTTTGTTTCTTAATTATCATGTTGTTAAATACATAGAGCCGAATACTTTATTAATTTATTTAAAATATATATATTGCATATATTTATTTTATATATATTTTTATATAATTTGCTTATATATTTAAAAAATATACATTTTTTTAAAATATAATATCTCTTAGCAAATTAGACTAAAAAAATAAGTCATATAATCCTAAAAAACTTACGTTTTTAAAAAAAGGTAAAAAAAAGCGCTAAATTCATGCACTAATTGTATCGAACCGTCATATTGTCTACAAAAAGTAGTGATATAAAAATTGCGCCAACTAAGAATAAAAATTTGTAAAAGATAAATAGAAGTACAAGGAAGAAAACTTGTACAAGTTAAATAGAAATATTTTAATTGAAAACATTGTTATACAAAATAGTTGTTTTAATTTTCATAAATAATAATATTAAAAAATTAAAAATTTATTTAAAAATTGGGAACTGAAAATTATATAAATATAATATAAAATAAAACATATAATATACAAACATATATTAATAAAACATATAAATATATATATATAATATAAAACAAAGAAGTAAAAAAAAATTTAATTAAAAAACTTGGCGCTGTCAATTTTACTAATATATTGCTTAGTTTAAAAGTCTAAATTTTCAAATGTAAATAAATATAAATTAATTAAAGAAATTAGATCATTAAATTTTAAAACTTGAAATATGTTACAATTTTTTAGATTTCCATACTATATAAAGTTGATAAAATAGAAGAAACATAATCTTGAATAAATTTCATAGAAATTTCTAAAGTAAAAAGTATAATTTGTGAAAATAATATAAGAATTATAATAATTAAATTATTAAATGAAGATCCAGAAAATCTTAAGAGAGTTAATAATAAATGTCCAGCAATTATATTTGCTGTTAAATATATATTTATTTCACATATATTATTAGTGAAATATGTGCCAATTTTATTGGAAGTCCCAAGTTTTTTTAATTAAATTTTTTTTTACTTTTTTGTTTTATATTAATTAAATTATATAAATTTATAAATTATATAATGATGTATTTAAAACACAAAGATAGTGAATTAATAATAAAAATGCGATCACAAGCTTATCAATCAAATCAATCAATATTAAGAAGTAAGAGAGAGAGAGAGAGAGAGAGAGAGAGAGAGAGAGAGAGAGAGAGAGAGAGAGACAGAGATTTATTAGATAATTTAATAAAATATATTTATAATATATTTATATTTAAATAACAAAACTTACTCGAAAAATATTCAAGCTTAAATTCATCACTCCAAATATTATTAAAAAGAAGAATGATATCTCAAATTTAGATATCAGATATATGCAAAACCTTTAAATACAATAAAATGTTACTTTATAATATACTACGCATATTTTATGCATGTTTTATAAAATAATTACTAACTTTATGGCTTTTCGGTGAATATCTACAGCGTTTTTTATGCTCTTATGAATCAAATTTCTATTCTGCAATTTAATATCTTGCAATGTTCGAATCTTTATTGCGTTCTCGATACGATAACTATAAATAATTTAATTATTATAATTATTAATTATGATAATTTATCTAAATATGTATATGTATATAAATATGTATATAGTGATATTGAGAGTTTTAATAATAATTTCGAAGTTGAATAATCATAACTTCACAAGTTAGTATTACAATAGTGAAGTAAAGTTAATAAAAAAACATAGCGTTTGAAATACACAAATATAAAACTAACAAATTTGAATAACATAAATAAAAACAAAATATTGTTTTATTTCTTTTATCGTACTTTGATCTTACTATTAATTATAGTTCTTGATAAATGTTTATTTTAGGTTACACAACTCGAAAAATTTTCACATATGTTGTAAAGCATACATTTCTAAGTAATACATCGTTTGAATTTTGCGGTGATCTCTTTTCATTTCTGACATTTTTTCGTTTCTGCACTTTTGAAGTTTCATACTTTTATATCATCTTTTCGTTACATCCTATTTATGTATTTACACTTTTTGTTTACATTTGTTCATCACGGTTTCATATTATATTTTACTTGTGTGTTTATATTTTTTGTTTACGTTTCCTCGTTGTCTCTTCCATATCGTTAAGCTAGAAGAATTATTGTTTAGTTTCGCTAGAAATCTTGAAATCTAGAATATATGTATTTGTAAACTTTGCTTTGTTTTGCAAAGTACTTGCGTGGATACCGTCCATTCCGTCCTCTTACGGGGGAGGTTCTACTTTCGGAAAATATAACCTAATCAAACTGATATCTGAAGTGTGGAATATATACAGTGGTATAATACAGTAAAAAAAATATTCGTACACTAGAAATTTTCACAAAAAATGGATTATTTTTGTGTAACAATAAATAATAATATAATTATTTGTTTATATTATAAATTCTTCTTTTCTTAATAACATTTAAAAAAACTCATAAATTATAACATTTTATATTTCAAAACAATAAAATAACAAAATATAACGATTTTCGAAAATACAAAAAGTATTCGTACACTATGATATCAATGACAACAACTGATCTTAGGTAGGGGACATAGTTTGTATGTTTGTTTACATTTTTTTGCTTGATCTCTCTCTTATTGACGTAAAATTTCATAGTTTCATTCAGTCGTTGTTCTTTGGTTTGCAAAAATGGGTCGAAAAGAAACCGAGACTACCGAGAAAGAAAGAAAAATTATCATTAGACTGCACAATCAATGTAAAAGTCTCGCGCAAATTTCCAAGACTGTTGGTCGAACTCGCTCAAGGATTCAATTTATTATTGATCGATTTTGTATACAGAAAATCGTAAAAAATGCGCCCAGAAGTGGTCGACTACACATTCTTTCAAAGACCGATGAAAGATTTATCGTGCGTCTTATCAAAAAGGATCCCAAAATTTCGACACCGATGATTGTGGCTACAATGGAAAAACGAGATGTACATGTTTCGATCAGTACTGTTCGGAATATGTTGCGCAAAAACAGTTATCATAATTGAATCGGAAAAAAACGACTTCAATTCGCCAAAAAATACGTCAATAAGGATAGTGATTTTTGAAATAGGAAAGTCATATTCTCAGATGAGAATAAATTTAATACTTTGGTTCGGATGGGAGACGCACAGTGAAAAAAAATTGTGAATTAAATCCGAATAATTTGTTACTCACTGTGAAACACGGCGGTAGTTCAGTGATGGTGTGGGGCTATATGAGTACTGAAGGGATTTACAATGAATCACAAAATGTATATTGATATTTTGAAACATAATCTAGCCATCAATATAGAAAAACTTGGACTCAAAAATAAATTTATCTTTAACAAGACAACGACTCGAAGCATACAGCCTATAATATCAAAAATTAGCTGTTATACAGGGTGACCCATTTTAACTTAGGCAGCCAAATAACTCGAAAAATAAGCACACTACGAAAAAATGGTTAGAATCAAAATTTCGTCATTTCGAGGGGGACGTACAATGACGTTAAAATCAGCCCCCCCACCCCTCCCCCTGGGCGGTGAGGGGGGGCAAGTTTGAAATCTTAAATAGGAACCCCTATTTTTCATTGCATATTCTTGTAGCTTATCTCGAGAGCTTTCCAAAACACTATAATTAAGTACCTTTTTATTAAGTACTTTTTGAGTTATAAGGCTTGAAATAATTTCTTAATTTTACATAAACCATAAAATATCTAGTAAACCATTCATTTTTCGATTATCTTACCTTCATACTTTTATGTACAAAATAATGAGAGGAATCAATTGGTGTAAAGAAAACATACAGTTGTTTTTAAGAAAAAATATGGAATTGTTAATTGCAAATTACATATTTTTTCTTAGAAACAACTATGTGTTTTCTTTACACCAATTGATTCCTCTCATTATTTTGTACATAAAAGTATGAAGGTAAGATAATCGAAAAATGAATGGTTTACTAGATATTTTATGGTTTATGTAAAATTAAGAAATTATTTCAAGCCTTATAACTCAAAAAGTACTTAATAAAAAGGTACTTAATTATAGTGTTTTGGAAAGCTCTCGAGATAAGCTACAAGAATATGCAATGAAAAATAGGGGTTCCCATTTAAGATTTCAAACTTGCCCCCCCTCACCGCCCAGGGGGAGAGGTGGGGGGGCTGATTTTAACGTCATTGTACGTCCCCCTCGAAATGACGAAATTTTGATTCTAACCATTTTTTCGTAGTGTGCTTATTTTTCGAGTTATTTGGCTGCCTAAGTTAAAATGGGTCACTCTGTATAATAATGTACCCTAACAATTACATATTCCCCCATAATCACCGGACTTGAATCCTATTGAACATTTATGGAGTATTCTTGAAAATATAGTAAGAAAAAGACAAGTATCGAATCGTGCAAAGTTTATTAAAATTTTATAACAAGAATGGGATAAAATTTTATCTGCCGTTACAAAAAATCTTGTTGATTCGATGCCAAGAAAACTGCAGGCAGTCGATTCTAAGGGATACCCAACAAAGTATTAATTTTGTTTCTATTATTCAATAATTAGAGTGTATAAATACTTTTTATACTTTCGAAAATCGCTATTTTGTTTTTTTATTGTTTTGAAGTATAAAATGTTATAATTTATGAGTTCTTTTTTGAAATGTTATTGAGAAAAGAAGAATTTATAATATAAAGTAATAATTATTTGTTTATTATTTATTGTTACACAGAAATAAATCATTTTTTGTAAAAATTCCTAGTGTACGAATACTTTTTACATCCACTGTACCTGGCTTCGCATAAAAAGTTGCAAACTTGTAAAAACTCATGAACCATGTGAACCGGACACACGTTGGACTCGGTTATATTTTCCGAAAGTGGAGCCCTCCCACGAAGAGGGGGGCAGAACACACGGTGTCTACGCATGTACTTTGCAAGATAAAGCAAAATTCACAAATACATATATTCTACTAAATATATTTTTTCTTAAACTTACATATGTATATGATGTGGTAAAATTATGTTCTATTCGTGAAACTTTTTTTGTTAATAACTATTTAATAAATAACAAACGGCTAAAACATTCTGAAAATTATTCAGAAAGATGACCCCGGTAAATGTAAACAGAAAAATATAAACATATTTAGAATGTTGTAACGGCCTTGCCGCTACTAAGAAAGGATTGCGCTGCGCCAATTTGGCGCCAAGCGCCGCCGATTGAGCACTTCGACCAAGCCGCGGAATTAGGAGCCGCGGATTGAGGATCGCAGTCTACCCCACTACTACGCGCATGACCGCGTGGGATATCAAGTGGGGGTAGCCAGCCGGGTATATAAGGCGGCCGCTCCGGCAGACCGGCACCGATTCCTGTCCCGACTCTCGGGACGCACCACAGACTTCTATATATATACTAGACTACTAACCTTGATTCCCTAGACGTACCAGTACATAATGTATATTTTATACATAACTGAATAACCGATTGGAATGTGTCGTCTGCTATGTACATATATCGATCGTCAAGTGAAATGTATTATTGTATTATAATTTGTCAACATTTTTCTAATGTTTATATTTAAAAAATGATAATAATATAAAAAAATATTATTAATATTAGGTTATTTTATATAAAAATGTACTTGAGGTTATATCATTTTTTTTAGTTTTATTTTTCATAAAAAACGTTGTGCATAACAATCAGCACATGTTTTTAAAAATGTTATAATAATTAATACATAAAAATGTTATAATAATTAATACAATATTTTCAAGTTCGAATTAATATAATATTAATACAATATATTAAAAAATGTATACCACATTCTTTCTTATATATATTTGTGCATCCTTGCACCACGCAAGGATCTTATTGTCATTATTATGGATATATCTATATATATATATATATATATATATATATATATATATATATATATATCCATATATATCTATGTATGCACTTTAATTTATTTTGCCCGTTTCATTTATCATACATAAACGGAACAACGACGATATATAGTATATATATCACATATCTCACTCAGTAATCCATAGTCGTAGGACTATAAAATATTAGTCGCATTCCAATCGGTAACTCAGTCTGCCGCCTTTGGGTGCCTATGTGTACATACTTTCGGGGTACACGCTAGGTGGGGAATATATAACGAGCCTAGCAGTCTAGTGTATTATAGAAGTCTGTGGGACGCACGAAGTTACAAGGCGCACCCTGGGCATTCGCAGCCTACCGAGCTCCTATCCTATCCTTGCTTCTGATCCAGAGCACGGTCTCAACCGTGCCCGGTCGGGTGCTCCTGACACCCAGGAGCCTTCCGTCGAGCCACGGACGATCCGGTTCAGGGTATGAGGCTCCCGTACTCGGTCGGTTATAACCGACGTCCGGAATTGTCCGGCTTATTTCCTCGCATCTGAACCGCCCTCCGTCGAGCCACGGACGACTCGATCCAGGGTACGGGCGCTCCCGTACTCGGTCGGTCGCAACTGACGTCCGGACTGTCCGGCTCGCATCCCGACACCCGAATAGCCGTTTTCACGGCTCCTAGAACAAATAGCCGTTTTCACGGCTCCTGGAATAAATAGCCGTTCTCACGGCTCTTGGAACTAATAGCCGTTTTCACGGCTCCTGCAACGACAGCCGTTCTCACGGCTCCTGGCTCTCGGACGAGCGCCGTCCATCGGCACCTGGAGGACAGCCGTATCCACGGCTCCTGGACATCGACCGCCCACCCGCTCTGCGTTAGAGCCGTTTTCACGGTTCTCCGTGAATAGCAGTAGTCCATTGTAAATAAAGTTGGTTTTTTTTTCTCTCCTCCTCCTAGATCCTCAACCGACTTTCTCGACACGGCCACCCGACAAATCGCTCGTCCACCGTCCTCGCGTTTATTTCGGGGAGGCCCTGATTAACTTCCCTGGTCTAGAGCCCGGTTGCTACCGGGCCCGGTCGGGTGCTACCGACGTCCAGTATCCCGGCGTACCACGGGGCACCCTGAGGACAGGTGCTCCCGTCCTCGGCCGACTTCGGTTGGCAGACTCTGATAGGTCCCGTGTCCGTGCCCCGTCGCACGCGACCACCCACTAGACTCTCCGCGTTCCGCGTTACGAAGATTCGTACGCGCGTTTGTATAATAGCATAGGCTTAAGCGTGTTCATTATTTCGATACGCGAGTCATTGTAAATAGGTTTCATTAGCGTTAGGTAGTTCCGTAGTTATTAGGTTTAGGTGCGTTCGTGTCCGCGCGGATAATGTAAAACGGTTAAAAACGCATCCGTAATTCCGTCGCAACCCCGTGTAAATATTAGTTAAGATTATACTTTGAGGTGATTGCGTGGGTTTACCACCCGAAACTCGCCTGTCTGATTTCTTTGAATAAAGCAAACTTAATTTAAATCGTGCGTGTGTGGTGTTTTGCGAGCCTGAGCCTCCCCTTCTCCCGAACCCTGACTCCGACGAGCCGATCCGCGGCGTTGGGAAAGGTGCACCGTTACAATGTAATGAAAAGATGAGTACAAATAAATATAAAATTTCAAAATCGCATATCATAACATCGCATAACATGTATCTTGCAAAGTAAATCTCTAAATTTTTAAATTTCAAACGAGAAAACAGAATTTCTTTATTTTAAATTTTTTCATTATTTTTATGTTTATCGTTTTACCTAGCTATTGCAAACATTCCGCACATATATTGAAAATATGCGATGAGCATTGTCCCTGTTGCTGCCACTACAATAAATCCTACAGAAATAGCTGCATTCATATGTAGTAGTAGATAATAGAAGTATTTTTCTTGATCAATGAAATATTCAGTCAAAACATACAACTGACGTGGTCTAGATTTGTTTATAGATGAAATTAGTATAATGTCCGGCCAAACTTGGACACTTATGAGAACAAACATACTGCAAACAAATAATACTAAATAACATTATTGATAAGCATTCATACAATTTCTAATTTTCTAACTAAAATTGTAAATCACTATAAATGGTTATTATAATAAATTATGATAAATAAATTGTATAAAAGAAATTAATTGATGTAAAATTTTCTTTTAATACAAATATATCTATCACAATCATATTACATGCAATTTTTTTAATACACTCAAATATGAGTGTCTGATAACTATTTGCACATCCGAAGTGTGAAGGTAGGTTGGCTTACTAAGAAGGAAAGTCCTTTATTGTTTTTTGCAATCTTCGTAATAATTAGTGGGAAATTAATTAAAGAAGATCAGCCAATTTGCATGGGTAGAAACGCGATGAGTGCACAAGGAGTGGAAAGCTTTTCATGCATTTACCACTCCTTCTCCACTCACCACTTCATCGCGCTCTTAATACAAGATTACAGTGGGATGATTCTAAGCGCCGCGCGCTTTCACACTTCGGATGTGCAAAAAGTTATCAGACATCTTGTATACTCATAAAAAATGCATATATATATATACATATATATATATATATATGCATTTTTATATATGTATACAGGGTGCTTCCGCAACATACAGATCGGTAAGTCAGGTTGCCTATCTAACGATTGGTCTTCTTTTACCGACCTCGCATAATTGAAAAATAATAAGATCAGAGGATCGATCATATAATTTTTTCGTGAAAAATGAAAAAATTCCTTGATTGATACCTTGAATGCAAATCCGTAGGGAATGAGGAAAGCGAAATCAGCTTTTAACATTGATATAGTGTAATTGTAATATTTAATAACATAAATAACATTATATAAAGAAGATCTTAAAAATAAAATTTGAAACGTGTGTGCGAAAATCATTCCTCCGATAATTCGGAGAGTAAGGAAAAATTTTATGCGGAGGATTGCTTTATGTTTAGAAGAGAATGGCAGTTACATTGAGCATATATTGTGAACATTAAAAAATAGTTTTTTGTTTAAATTAATTATATTTTATCTGTGTTATTATATTTCAATTGTGTCATTTTATGTTATTAATGTTATTTAAGTTATTTATGTTATTAAATATAATGTTATTTATGTTATAAAATATTATAATTACACTATATCAATGTTAAAAGCTGATTTCGCTTTCCTCATTCCCTACGGATTTGCATTCAAGGTATCAATCAAGGAATTTTTTCATTTTTCACGAAAAAATTACATGATCGATCCTCTGATCTTATTATTTTTCAATTATGCGAGGTCGGTAAAAGAAGACCGATCATCAGATAGGCAACCCGACTTACTGATCTGTATGTTGCAGAAGCACCCTGTGTATATATACATATATATATGTACATATTTGTGTATATAATAACGACATGCATGTATAATTTATTGTTTTTGAATATAATTTATCGTTTTCCACAATTATTTATAATTTATTTACTTAATATAATTAATTGTTTTCAACAATTATTAAATTATTAAATTATATTTAATTTTTAATTTTATATTTAATTATTAAATTATTAATTATATTTAATTTTCACAACTTAAACGTGAGTAACAAATTTATATTTGGCGTTGATGTTAAAAAATAGAAAAGTGCTTTATATATTTAGTTATATATTGTATATGTATTATGATGATTTAACAATCATTAATTTAACTTTCAGTTTTGTAGTCATATGCTTAAAGTAAAAAATTGAAAAACAATTTTAAACAATTTTCTTTTTCAATGAAAAACAATTGAGAAAAATAAATATAAAATAAAAGTATTATTATTTGATTACTTTTATAAAAATATTGTTGTATTCGTTATTATATTTATAATTTTTATATATAATTTACAATTAACTTAATGCTTTGTAGAATTTACAAAAATTGTTCCGTGAAGAAAATTCCAACAACAAATTTATTCAAATTGAAAAGCAAAAAAAATTAAAAAATGCTATGTTACTTGTCAATGTAGCCGTATAATATTTTGCGTTTCTTCCGTATCTTTCTATGATGGCAATTTCATTACTATCTTTTATATCATTGAAGATACGTTGAAGTTGTTCCATTAAATCTTTCACCTGTATTAATGAATCTTTATTATTTCTACTAGTAAATAAGGAAATATATATAGATCTAAAATGTTACCGAGAGCGTTTATTAAAATAAATACAAATAGATAATCAACTTACAGTTTCACTATTAATGCAAAACGAATGATATTTTATTGTTATGCAAATGAAACCAAATGCTGAAGATAAAACTTTGATGACGAAATTTGCGGTACATTTTGAAGTCACGAATGTTGTAAACTGTAACACAATAAATTTTTATGGGGAAATTGTGGATTTCTATGGAAAATTTTTTTTATTAACACAAAGTAATTCTACATTTTTACAACTATGTTCCATTTATAAATAATGAATAATTATATTACTTAATTATAATATAACTTTTATCCTTTGTAATAAAAAGTATAGATGCACATATATATACAAAGTGATTCTGAACAAACGTTTGTCTTTAAAATATCAAATTCTTGAATAAATTCTAAAACAATTTTTCCTCTTGCAAAATTTTGCCCGGAGCTTTTAAACTATAGTTTAGAAATTAAGCTTTGGGCAAAATTTTGCAAGAGGAAAAATTGTCTTAGAATTCATTCAAGAATTTGATATTTTAAAGACAAACCTTTGTTCAGAATCACTCTGTATATACAGGGTATCTATGTATAAAAACGTAAGAAAATGTTCCAAATGTTCAAAAATATTGATCGCACTGAATTCGTTTTTAAAACCATAAGAAAAAAAGAGAGATTGAAACGCCAGAATTTAATGATATTTTTTCATATTATTTTCATATTATTATTGATTTTCAATCAGATAACGGTTTAATAAATATTTAATAATAAAAAATAATTATATTTAATATTAATAATAATATTTAATAATAATAAATAAATATTTAATATTAATAATACTATTGTTCGGGATCGCAACTTTGAATTTGCGAGAGTAATGCCGGTACACACCCGAGTGGGTATCGCGAGATGGAAAGACAAGTGACTTCGGGAAGGATGAGTGAAAGGATTGAATACTGTGAACTTGCTCCTTTGATTTTTACACAGCGACAGCCTCAAGAGAGTTACTTTAACTTTATTGCAATGTTGCACACGATAATTTACAATGTTTAAAAGAATGTTCGGAATGTGCACAACGCGATTGCGAGTATTTTGAGTTAATCGAAATTCGCACTAGAGTAATCGAGATCGCTTGGCATAGCGACGCGAGAGATTGAGCGAGACCGCACTATACAACGGTTCGCTAGAGTAAGCGAGACCGTACTATCCAACGGTTCGCGAGAGTAAGCTAGACAGCGCTTGATTGCACGCGAGATTGAGCGAGACCGCACTATCCAACGGTTCGCGAGAATAAGCGAGACAACGTTTCTTGAGGAGCACGCGAAGTCCGAATGACCAAGGACGCTCCTTCTCTTCGCTAGAGTGAAGGCACTCAACTACGTCACGGCACTCGCGCTCAGACTTTGAGTTCGTGACGGCATTGATAATGATTTATACGTAGTTCCGACACGATGATTTGAGCGTAATTTGGAACCAACACCTTTTCGAGATTCCAAATCACGACTTTTCGAGTTGTGTGCGTTTCACTCTTTTTTGATGTTATCTAACGACACTCTTGATGATCAGACAACGATTCTCTTTCTGTAGTAATCAGGCGACCCTCGCTCGGAGAGAGGCTTTCTTCCCGATGATAAAGGCTTGATCGCGAGTCGGGTGATCAAAATTGAACTTATCCCGTTTTGTCACGTAAAATCGCGTGATTTTACGATTGCCTGATTGGCCAGGACCATGTAATCCTACGCGATCACGAGGAACGCAAAACAAGGACGGCAATACGCGTGTTCGAGTACGGTCGAGCATGAACGGATGGCGCCAGTATTACTTTAATTGAATATTTAATTCTAGTCTCAGGGCGAATCCTGAACAACTATTTAATAATAATAAATAAATATTTAATGTTAATAATAATATTTAAAAATATTTAATAATAATATTTAGTATTAATAATAAATAATATTTAACATTAAAAGTGAAAGTATTAAACATTTATTTATTCTAATTAATTTTAAAACAAATATCGTACGATGTATAAATATCATATGATAATAATATTATACACTAAATTGTCGCGTCTTCAATCAAACACATGTTTACGTTCGACAACGCTGTTAGTACCTTAACCTACCGCAACGTAGCATAACCAAAAACTGTTTGCTGTCGCCGGGTAAATATCGTCGCGTTGTCGCGTCGTGTAATAACGTGTGTCTTTCTTTAATCGAGTGATTTTTAATTGCCAACAGTGATTATTCAATAGTGATTGATAGTGATTAGTGATAGAGTCATTGATAAATTTCTCGTCTTATCGAGCGAGTGAATGAATGTGATTATGTTGAAGTTTATAAAAGAATACAGTTTATAAAAGAAAAAAGAATTTTCGATTAATTATTTAGTGTGCATCTCTGTCCTTTAGAACGTGAAATCTACGTTCAATTTTAGTGAAAGTACGATCTATGGAAAATTCATTTCTGAAGAAATTACAGCAATACATCGAACAAGGTAATAATAACTATTCTTTGATGTTGTGTGAAAACAAATTTCGGGATGTCAAATAAACAGTTAGAGAAAATTAGAAAGAGAGGGGTTTGTAGTAGGTAGGAAATACCGAGTTGATAACGAGTAAGTAACAGAGTTCGACTTGGTACTCGAGTCTCACATAACTCACCGGATCGCTCGGTGAGTATGCATAAAATGTATTTTCACCTCTCTAGTAAAAAAAAAGAAACGGTACAATATAAAAAAATAATTAAAGTGAAAATGTGTAACAATAAAAAGTAAATAATAATTTTAATAAGAGTAATAATAACTTCAAGTAAGCAAATGAGAGAGAGAGGGGGGAGGGAGGAAGGGAGGGGGGAGGGAGAGAGAGGGA